AGTCATTGAACCAGTCTCCCACTGTTTTTATGGAATAACAGATACAACTAAGGGGGGGGGGTTAATTCTTGACCACATTCTCGGGATCTAGGTAGACCTGGAAATTATGTCTAATGCTTCAGAGGTAAAAGGTGTCTTTTCCCTCCTCTCTAGACATGAGAAGGAACTTCTGAAAGAATGGTAGGGATGGGAGTGAGGAGATTCTGAGAACTGTGGGACATGAGCTTTGAATTTCTTGCTAATGGCAAAGAATTGCTAACAGACAGTCATACATTTCCTAAAAAAGAAAAAAAGATAAATTCATGTATGTATGGTAACACTTGCACATAAAACATTCAGGGAATATTACCTAGCTCTTAATAACTAGTAGGTTATCAATGTGATACTGTATTTAAACATCAAAATCACTGCAAAATATTTTATTCCTATTCTGCAAATACAAAATTAGCCATTTCAGTCTCTAAGGTCCCACACATATTATAAAATGATTCTAAAAATCCATACTCAATGCTACTTCTCAAGAAAGAATATGACAGAGAGGTAACTCACTTACCAGAAGAACAAAGGTATTTCCAGGAGCACAGGGGAGAAAATGTAGAAATTCTCACTACTCTATAAATTCACATATACATGACCCCATGTACTTTTAGGGGAAAATTGCCTTTTTGGTACTGTTAGGTCCCATTAAGGGAGCTATGACTCATAGCAACTCTATGAAAAACAGACTGAAGCCGTATCCTATCTTGTACCATCCTTAAAATTTCCACCACATTCAAACCCATTGTTGCAGTCACTGCATTCCATCTCAATGAAAGTCTTTGTCTCCCTTGCAAGCCCTCTACTTTTCCAAGCATGATGCTTTTCTCAAAAGGATGGTTCTTCCTGATGTCCAGAAGTATGTGAAATCTCATCATTCTTGTCTCTTTAGAAGCACTGTGACAGAACCTTCTCCAAGACAGACTAGCTTGTTCTTTTCGCAGTTCATTGGCTATTTAATAATCTTCTCCAACATCTCAATTCAAGGGCATCCGTAATTTTTCAGCCTTCCTTATTCATTAGCTAACTTCACATACATATCAAGCAATACTATACTATGCAGCATTGAATAACAAGGAACTCATGAAATATTATACAAAACAGTTGAAATATCTCAGTCACAGAAGGACAAAAACCACATATGGCCACTTGTAAAACGGGACTGACATCAGGGTTGGGGGAAGACAAAAGAAGGGGATAAATAATGTATACTGCATTGAAACAGATCAGTGAGAGAACTATTTAAAAGGGATATATAATTAGGTATTATTGTCATGACAGAAGTCCAGAAAGAAGGCTGCATAGTGGCGTGGACATAGGGGGAGGGATTGTAAAAGTAATTTTTCTTTTACTTTTCAGAAAGAAAAGTGATTTGGTGGGGAGCAAGTGGGCAGGGAGAAAAGTGCAACAATGAATGAATGGAAACCCTAAGTCTCTGTAAACTGTCATTAAAATTAATTTTTTTAAAAAAGATCAAGTACTGAGCCGTGGGAAATGCCTTGTGTTAAGAAGACAGGAGGAAAAAAAAAAAAAGAAGACAGGAGGAAGAACTTTGTAGCTAGCTGTTTATGGTGATGGAAAATTTTGCAAAGGATGTGGTGATGGCTGTACAACATAACTGATACAGTGAGTGCTATTGATTTCATACACAAAAAGTGTTGAATTGGCACATACTGTGTCTACATTTAAAAAAAAAAGACCAGAAACAGACTGGGGGAGAACCTTTCCAAGGTAAAAAAAAAAAAAAAGCAATGATGTCAGTTTAAAGACTAAGGTGTTCCTGATCCAAGCCATCGACTTTTCAACAGCTCCTATGCATTTGTAATTTGGACAATATATAAGAACGGCCCAAAAAAACCAAAAGGTCATAGGAGACTAGACAGCACATAACAATAAAACAAGGAAAGGTTTACATACAGAATCAACCCTGGAGATCTAACAGGGATGAGAAAGAAGGGAGAGGAGAATAAAAACTAAGAAAGCTAAGTTGGGTGAAAGAAAAGGCAATACACCATAAGAGGTTGTTTAGACATCGTAATTAACTCTAAAACAACGTGTCTATGAATGTATGAAAAATGAGTATGATATATATAAATACTTTCATGCAATTAAAAAATTCATTGTAAAATTAAGCTCAAAAGAAATATGTAAAAACAAGTAACATTGTGTACCTTTAACAAATCAACATTAATCATTTACATATTAAGAATATGGTCCAATAAAATGTATATAAAGTGAAGATAAAGCAACAAAGAAAGAAAAGTGGGAAAATCAGTTTGCTACCACCCACTAATATTAACTCCAATTTTTACCTAATAGATAATTGGGAGCTCTGGTGGTCTAGAGGTAAGGAACTGCATGGTCATCTCAAAGGCAAACAGCTGCTCTGTAGGAGAAATATGGGCAGTCAAGTCTCACGAGATCTGCTGGCTCTGAAAACCTGCTGGAGGCTCATCTATCTATAAGTTGGTTGTGACTTGATGGCACACAACAACAACAAAAGGCTAAAAAGAACATTATTCCCCCTAAAGTTTAAAGTCCTTCCATATTACCTGTAAGGATACAATATCCCCTTTAATTTGCCAATCAAATTTCTCAACATGTATTTGTAAACCACTTCTTCGTGTACCTGAACTCATAATCTTGGCCAACAAAACAAAATAGGAAAAGAGCTGGATTTTGAGACTTAGATGAGGCAAAATTTTGAGACCAAGAAAAATTACAAGTGGAAATTTTGGAATGAGAGACTCAAGAGTAGGAATAATGAGCCCTTTCAGGAGTTTGATGTGGAAGACTGGACTACTACAAGGACTGTGACAAGTAACACACACTCAAAATAGCAGTTGCCCAAATCTTTCTTTGCACCTCTACATTTGAATGGCATCACTATGTCTGACTGATCCTAAAAGGATCTAGCTTCAAATATTCAGCTCTTTTGTGTCTTTCTAAAAGTGATTTAAGTTTCTAACAGGGTATTCACTTTTATTGCCCATAGAACAAGACCACCTAAATAGTTATAAAAGGTGGGCAAACAGGGAAATCCCTGGTTCTTCCGAAAACTTACAAATTGGTCAGCAGTAATTAACAAGCCTTTGCAGGCTTCGGTATGCAAAAAAAATTTGGCAATCAACGTCTTGAACTAGCTTCAGTCTCAAAAGTTTTCTAGTTGTTCATATATACTAACATTGTCCCCTCCACAAACCACCACTTCGGTGTCCCATTCTTAAAACAGAACCATAGGCCTGGCTAGAGCCAGCCAATGCAAGCTGACAAAAATCCTTACTTTAAATGAAAATGTTTCAAAAAAATTCCACTCTTTAAAATAGCTAAAAGAAGAAAAAAAAGAATTCTAAACAACTGTTAAGAACACTGGCTCTTTAAAACTACTAAAGCTTTGGATGAACACTTCAAAACACTTATTTTCAAACTACTGTAGTTTCAATTTTACTACCAAATATAAGGATATAATCCAAATTTCAAGGTGATGTGGTGTTACAATGGTTAAACTCTTGACAACTAAAAAGTATTAATTTAAACCCACCAACTGCTTGGCAGGAAAAAAATGTAGCAATCTGCTTCCATAAAGATTTATAGCCTGGAAAACCCTGTGAGCCCTGCTGGGCAGTTCTTCTCCATCCTGTATGGTCACTGTGAGTCAGAACTGACTTCATGGCAATGGTTATCCAAATTTCTTCAAGGTCAGTGCAGGAACAAATACTTTGACTATATTATTAACCACATCACTTGCAATTAAGCTGTTTAAAGTATATCTTGAAGAACTCTGTATCCTAAAGAACACATTAATGGCTACATTGATTCAAAACAGTCCACATGACTTTATGGTTTTGTGTTGAGGCAAAACTGCATAGTTTTGCAAAGTGTCAGGAACTCAAATGCTACTAAAACTTCAAAGTCCACCTTGTTTTATCCCTTAGGGCACTGGTAATACAATTACATGAAGACAAAGTGGACAAGTGTGTCCATCCAAAAAGTTTTAACTTAGCATTTTTATCATATTTTATGTACCATTTGTGTTCTAATGTCAGCTAACTGCATTAGCAGCTTAAATTAATTTGGTTTTGCAGTAAACCAAATTTCCAGAAACAGAAAATGAAAACTGGTGCCGGTAATATAACAAGTAACCAAGCAAAAAAGCTGTCTTAAATTATGGCAACAGAAACAGCTTATGTCAATATCATGAAAAATTAAGTCTTTTTGTATCCTACAGGTCTTTCTGTAACTAGGATTATTTCTTTAAAAAACTAAGTTGCTTTTTTGTGTTGGGTTTGTTTTGGTTTTGGGTTTGTTTGTTTGTTTTTGTTAAGTCAAAGCTTCTTGGCCACTATTACTAGGATCACAAACAAAGTGATGAAAGAGAAACAAAAATAATTGACGAAAGAAGTCTTGAACTGGCTTCAGGTTCAAAAGTTTTCTAGTTGTTCATATATACTAATATTATTCCTTCCAAACACTTACCAACTCTTAAACCAGAACCGGCAGTCTGGGGAGAGCCAGCCAATGCAAGCTGAAAAAAATACCTTCCTTTTTCCTTTGCGGAGGTAGGAGAGTGTCACTCTCCGACCTAGAATCAATTTTATTCCACTAAGTTTAAAATGGTGCCGAACTGAGCAGAAAGTATGTAAAAATATGTAAAGAGAAACGGGAAAATTAACTTTTAAAAGCTAAGTTCCTATTTTCCGTAAACGGGTCCTTATAAATGCTGCAGAAGGTAAGGACTCGGGGATGAGACTGAGCTAGGTTCACAGGCATTCCTCCGCGGCGTGCGCATTGCGCGGAAAGAATGAATGGAAGACAGGCGCGTGCGAAACGCAGCAGGTCCGGCCGGCAACTACGGCAGAACAGCAATCAGTAGGCCTCGCTCCTCCCTCTTCCCTCCTCCATGACAGCCGTCTGAAGCATGTAGGGGCGAGGACAATGTGATGCCCCCTCTCAACACCTCTAACCGTCATCGTAGATGGATAACTTTACCGCGCCGTATGGAGTTTCCTTCCCCACTAAAATCCTTCTCCCCCTTCCCTGCCGCCAACCCCAGCAAGTCCCGGGTGCTCTAGAGCAACACGCGCTCTCCCCTTGTCCACTCCCCACCGCCAGGTCCAAGCTTCCCCGCGCGTGCCGCACCACCACTCCCGCCCAACCCACTCTCCAGCGCCCACCAGCTCACCAAGCCCACCCGCCGAGCGTCACAACACTAGCGCGCGCCCCCAACCCGAGACGAGAGAGAGAGGGAAGGCAGCCCCAGGACTTCCTTCTCCATCTCGTTCCAGATCAGCTCGCCGCCCACCCTCTCCGCGTTCCCGGAGGCTGCTCGGAGCCGGCGCCCTCCTAACACGAGATACAAACCCTACAACCCTATCCTATGTGCTCGATCACTCTCCACCCTTGCAGACAGATCGCGACTCCGCGAGAGGCGCCACGCTGCCCCTCCCCCAGCTCTCTCCCCCAGCTCTCCAGCCCCCACCGGAACGTGTGAGCTACACGCCGCCGCGGCTAGCCGCCGGGGCGCCCCCAAGTTGCCCGCGGAGAGGTCAGGCCAAGAAGAGGGGGAGGGGGCAGTAAAGGGTAGCATGCGCGCCGGGAACGCCGGCCCGCGGGGTCCCCCAGTCCGAGGGGAGACTGAGCGCGGGGACTGGTGGGGGTGGGGGCCAAAGGCAATACTCACCGGTTCCACAGTCGCCATCTTAGATCGATCTGATCGCACAACCGCTCCTGAAGGGGGGGTGAGAAGAAAAAAATGATATTTAAACCGGATTGGCCGACTGCTATCCACGTGACGGACGTGTCCGTTTGGCCCTGGCGGCGCCTGCGCAAGACTGCGGCTGCGTGAATAACGAGAGGCTTCTGGGAAGTGAAGTCTTACTCCCCGCTTTTTTTTTTTTTTTTTAAGGGCAAAGAGGGGTGGCTTTTTTTTTTTTTTTAAGTGGTCACGTGGTCGGTGGATGAAGTGGGCTGGTCTCCCCGCGACGGACGCTGGCGTGCTGGCGTGTGGTTTTCAGCCCTCTGTTCTTCCTCCTAGGTAGCTGCTTTCACACTTACTGCTGATCATGCCTACCATGTCCTTTGTCGCCCTGTCCTCCCATCTTTCCCTGAAGGTTGGAATTGCAGGCTCAACATACACAAGACTTCATTTGCTTTGTTGAGTTCCTTGAACTGGTTGCCTGTGTGTTTATTTCTTTTTCTTTTGACCTCCGACCATTTTCTGTTTTAGTTTCAGAAAGAGGCAATAGAAAGTTGTTTAAGCAATCAACCCTCGCACGTCCCCGGCTCTGCTAACGTTGATGAGCGTTCATTGCCATCGCTGTGAACGGCGGGGTAGATGCAACTGCCCACCAAGTACCCTCTTGCCACTGGTTAGAGAAATGGAGAGTGGACCTGACACCTTTTCCTGACCCCAGATCCTGAGAGTAAGACCTCAGGGCTAAATCCTTCCTGAAAGTGAAAATTATTTGGAAGCTCTTGTCCTCCCAGTTCCACTATTCTGCTTTGACGTGAATGGAAACAGCGTAGTCCGGGTGCCTGTCAGGGAACCACTCCGGGCCCCGCTGACTAAGCCCTGGACTGACCGACCGTCAGTTGTTAGGCAGGTCAACTATGACTCTTGACATTGACTCATTCTCCTCAGGCTAGTGACTTAATCATTCAGTGCCTCAGTTTTTCATTTCTGAACTAAAGGTGGTAATACACTTACCTCACAAGAGTGTGCTGTGGTAATGACTTTAACGAGCTTTGAAAATGCATCAGACTCTATAAATGTTTCCTAATAAGCAACCGCGTGTCTTTATAAGGATCAGCTGCTTCTGCTGTGTTTTTTAGACAATGTTTTGTTGTCCTTGTTTACTTTGTTACATTATGATGTACATCAGTGCAATTTTAAAGTGTGAGGATTTTTTTTCTTTCTTTGTAATTTTAACTGAAAGCTGCTTTTGGTCAATGCTTTAATATTCAGGAACATACGATGCGATGATGTTCACAACAATGCCTGACTATTAAAAATCTGTCTCCACACTAGTATCCTATATTCCCTTTACTTCTAACATATACTATATTATTTCTCTAGACGATGTTATTCTGCATAATCTAATTATTACTATAACAAACATAGATAAAGAAATCAAGGAATATATAACGATAAGGTTCTAATGGAGTATACAATCATTACTATTTCTCATGCTTCTCAAGAAAGTTGCCACCAGAAAAAAACCGTTTAAACAAGCTGCCTGTGCCTGCCTATAGTGTTGCTGATGTCCAGAGTGGTGTCATACCTATTATTGAGTACATAATGGTTGCTTGAGTTGACTAACAACACATAATTGAAACTGTACAAGAACTCAAAGTCATTGCCTGTTAATATGTTCTTATTTTCCTGCATTTTAGAAGTGATTCATGTGCAGTGATTTTGTGCAGTTTAGCTCAAGTAGGTTCTAAATTAGATATAATTCTGAATAAATGTAAGTAAATGGATTTCTACTTAGAGACTATCTTCTGTTATTTAAACTATCTGAAATATTTACAGTTGATCTCAATGATATTTCATCTTGAATAAAAGCAAGACATATAGTTCTCTTCTTTGAAGAAAAGGCATAGATGTGCTAGCTAATGAGAAAAAAGTCAGTAAGTCTGAAAAACTCACTCATTATCATTAAGGTTGAGTTGGAACTGACTTGTCGCTGACCCTTGAGTGGATTTTTGGAGGCTATAAATCACATGGAATGATTTCTCCCTCAGAGCCATGGGTGGATTCAAACTGCCAGAGAGGTTTTGCCTTTGTGTGAACTGGACAACTCCATATTGACTATGCCACCAGTCGTATGCCACCAGATCTTGACAAGGAAATATCCACATGGAAATAAAAGCCAGTGATACTTTTGTTGTTGCTGTTATTATTCTTGTTTATTTTTTAAAACATTTGCTTATATAACCATGATAAAATTTGAAAATAAGTACAATTTTTATTTTATTCTATTATAGACTTACATTTGACTATAATTTTGTGGTGTATAAAGAATCATATTCAGAGGGCCTAAGAGCATTTATAATTATGAATATTAGCTAGATGAGATTTCATGTTACTTGTTTTAATTTAAAAACAGAAATTTGTTAAAAAATAAGAGAAAATGTCTAAAGAACACACATAGAAGAAACCATTGAAAAATGTACTTAATGTACTTAATTTTAAGATAAGACTAAGTCCAGAAACTACCATGCTTATATTGAATTGAATAAACATTCTCAAAAAAGTACATATTTGTCTCTTAAGTTAAAAAATATTGTTGAAATAGAAAGTAAAAAAATATCTTAATTGTGACCAAACATATTTTTTACAAATCACATTTAGCTACTATGAATGCAACAATTATTAAAATTCAATAAATTGCTGTTGAATTAAGGATTTGAAATATTGCATTTGATTAATTTGGTTTTGGCTGATCGCTCCAGAGAACACCAAATCTGACCTCAACACAGAGACAAATTTGGTTTTACTTATCAGCTAGTTCTTATATATGTTTCATAAATTAGTTCAGTGTCTCAACGAGTGATAGTTTTATAACTTTTTAAAAAAGAAATGGTTACCAAACTTTTCTTTGCTCAAAAACAATCCACTCTTGTCAATAATTCTAAGTGTTTTACATACTTGTGTTCCTATTCACCATAATTACATTTCTCTTCATTTTGTATATGCTTTGTTCCCTGTTTTGTTGTTGGTTTTTTTTTCCAATATCCAAAGCATTTTATTGTAGATCTGGGAGAGTAGAGAGAATTCTCTCAAAAATTGCCTCTACATCTAAAGATTATTATTGCTGTATTTTACGGCTTATTCTTGTGTCTTTGTTTAACACCTACAACTAGATTGCACCATGTCAGAGATTCTATGATTACGTTTTTATGTTCGTTTATGTATATGTGATTGTTTTATATTGGCCTTACCAATATAAAATACACATGGAAGAAATGTTGTAATTTGTATCTCTGTTAATCCATAAAAAATACAGTTATTTCATTGGTATGATCTTCATGATTATACTTGAGAATGGTTAATGAAGGATTATTGTTGTTGTTGTTGTTGTTGTTGTTGTTGTTAGGTGCCATCTAGTCAACTGTGACTCATAACAATCTATAAACAGCCTTGCCCTATCCTGCATCATCTTCACAATCTCTATCATTCTGGAACTCCTTGTTACAGTCACTACTTCCATTAATCTTGAAGGTTTTCCTCTCTTTGACTGAACCTTCACCTTTCCCACCATGATGTCTTTATCCAAGGACTAGACTCTCCTGATAACATGCCCAAACACTGTGAAATGAAGTTTTACCCTCCTCGCCTCTAAGGAACACCCTCCTTGCACTTTCTCCAAGTCAAAATTGTTTGTTCTTTTGGCAGTCTATGGGATATTCAGTCCTCTTCCCCAACACCACAATTCAAAGCCATTGATTCTTCTGTCACATTTATTTGTTGTCTAACTTTCAGATGCATAAGAAGCAATTGAAAATACCATTGCTTGGGTCAGGAGCACCTTGCTCTTTAAATTGACTTCCTTGCTCTCTAGCCTTTTAGAGAGATCCTTGACAACAGATAAAGAAGGACTAGATTTATGGAATAAGAGTAGAATTGTAGTACAATCCTAAGAGTTACTATAATCAAGGATGCTTTAGGCAGAATATTAAATGATCCAGGAAGTATTAAAAGAAGATGGAAAGAATATATTGAGTCACTGTATCAAAAGGAATTGGCAGACACAGAAGAATTTAATGAAATAACATATGAGCAAGAGCCTATGG